TTTCGTTAAGCGAAAAAAACTTTTGGGTTTAGGTGCATTTTAATCTTCATGCTGTGTAAGTTTGATCTTAGAGATTGTATTTCGACTGAGCGACCTCACTGAACTCATGAATTATTTTCTATTCGGTAGGATTTAGAGCAAGTTCACGAACTTGCCAATGACTCAGAGGATACTGAGAAAGTGCATAAGACATTTGAAGCCATTCACGACAGACTAACACGCTCTGTTCAGGTTATTTCGTCGCTTATTCCAGTGCTGTTTGCTTCAGTTCTACGGACAGGTACCTTATAAGTTTTCCAAATTATTTGCGATTGGTTTTTGCCCCACGATCCTGATTCTACTCTTAGTTCTGAAAGCAAACTTTGACTATCTTGATTTTGTAATGGCCAACTTTCGGTGGCCTGTCGGTTATCTGTCGGTCGACAGTTGGCCAACAGTCGGTAGAGGGGACCTGTTCTTCACAATAACTCATTTAAGCGCGTGCGCTTTCTAACGTAACGCATGCGCGGCGAGCTGAAAGCTGAATGGTTGAGATTTCAGGTGCACCTTTATGTCCACTTTCCTTACAATTTTTGTTAGGTTACTTCTACTTCTACCATTCTCACTGGTCATCAGCTGTTTTCCGTATTTTGATTTATTATGCTTTGCTTATTCCTGCCCAGCACCATTTTCCAAAAAGCCAGAAGAGGTCGAAAGGTACAACGTGCCAGGTATTGTAACAAGAATTAACAATTAATTGACAAGGTGGATCAAAACATCGTGTTTTATCAGTGGCCCGCTGATCAAAAACTCATCTCCAAGACACTGACAAATCACGATATTTTGCGATGGTTGATTAATTCGTTATTTAACCATTCGATTTCCGTATTAATTTTATCATTAATTGTAGCGTAACACATAACGATGACAAACCATGACAAACCGTATTAATTTTATCATTAATTGTAGCTTAACACATAACAATGACAAACCATTATTTGTGGACAGTTATCGGCAGATAATGTGATGAGCTCTTGGTTGATGAAAAAGGGAAGAAAATAAGCAAATTAAATTGATTTACAATTGCTGCTAATGGAATTGAGATTGAGCAGAATTAATGACCCATTTATTTCTCTCAAACAGTTGCACCGGACAGATTTCTACCGCCACAGTCGCCACTGACTGATATCGAGAAAATATTAGGTGGGAACCAGGCTGTCGCCTTCCATGTTCGTCGATTTGACAAACACGTGTCGGAGGACCTCTTTGATTCATGGGATAGTTTGACTTGGATTCATTACGAATGGTAAGAATAGCGCACCACTCACGTCTGTGTGGCTTCTTCAACTTGGCACCTTCCAGAAATGTCTCTGATTAATTTAAAGTGACAGTAATAATGAAATCCATAGGTCTGGGGTCCTTCTTCGTCTCAAACTCGTGAAAAAAACCAACAACAACTTTCTTTTATTGGCAACAGTGCTGATTATTGAAAAAAATTTCTTCTTTTCTCAGTTTACCGAACTTATGTGAGATTGTAGGTGAGTACATTTGTTACATTTCAACACTAAAAAAATAAGAATAACTTATAATCTTGCCACATTTGTAAGGAATGTATCAAACTGCACTTTTCCCTTTCTAGGAAAAGTTCATGTGTCTTTGACGGATTGTGTACAACAGCTGATTTCGCTTTTTCGCTCTTTGTGTATCACGCTTGGGAAACCATACTCAGACAAAAAGGTGAGGAAAGACTTCATTTTTTCCAGTACATGTACCTTTGTTAACCTTCTCCCTTAATCTTTCAAGGTTTGAGTGCGTTTTCTCCATTTTAGCGGCTATAGATTTCATAATAAATGAGTTCAGAGAGTTTGGTATTTTTTTTTAATTTAACATCCTTAAGCTGATAAGTTTAAATATTCTCTTCACCTTTCTCTTTGTTGATGTATTTAAAATGTGAGGAGAAGTTGGATGTTAATCGCCACCGGTAGGGAAAAGATTGATTGTAGTAAGTTTTGTGTTTTTTACATACAGGTATGTAAATTCAAGTCATCCGCTCGAGTTTCCGAGAAATTACGGCTCACTTAATTTCCATTCCCCCTCACAACAGTTCTCTTTCT